GTGTGTGTGTGTGTGTGTGTGTGTTATCTTCACCTGCAGATTCACTGAGACAATGCCTGGATGTTTTTTATGCGCTCGTGTGGGCCATTTGTATTTATCTCCCTCACCAAATGGGACGCGCACATCCACACTCGCACGAGTGCAGCTCCAGTACACCTTAATCAAGATTATTATGGTCTGGGATGTGTTTAGTTTGGGTGTACGGGTCCTCTATTTGTTAGAGAGTGTTTAATATCATCGTAAATGTACATTCACTCCTAGTTTACAGGCTTTTATTTACTCCAGCTCATAAACACTGAGCAGGCTGGATCCCTTTTAATCTGCAGCCAAAGTTTTTCTCTTTCTCTCTCTTTCTTCTTTGCCCACCTTCAAGACACTGTGGCGTGACGTCGCCTGTTTTCTAGCGGGTGCACGAGAGTTTTCACACAGGTGCTCCATCTGCTTGCCAGTGCGACTATTTGGGGCGATAACCGCCTCGCTCCTGAGCAGCTCTGTTAACATCCTCACTTGTTAACAAGCCCCTTACCTTCCCAGAGCCAACCTCTGCCACCCGCAGGGAAATAGCAGGAGTTTGCTTAACCCTGTAAGCCTGTAAATACAAATTTTTGAAGTTTTTGAAAACTTTTTCTTTTCTCTTAAAAATAAGAGTTGACAGTTAGTGTACAGCTGTGGACGGAAGAAAAAAGATGCTGGATCGCTGTTATCACAAACTGCTGCTGTTTGGATGCCTGGTTTGTCTTCTGGTGACTGTTGTAACTGCAGACGGTAAGTAAACATTTGAAATCATTGAAATAACCCGTACACCTCGTTGTAAAATTATTTTCTGATCTAATTTTGTCCGTTTGCTAAAGCTGTGGTGGTGATGTGCGCCAATTACGCGTAGCGCGCCAGCAATTGGCACCAAGCCTGTTAGAGTCAAAAGGTGTTCTAAAATAAATGTTTAATGGCAAAAGAGACAATTACACCACACTATTTCTCCCGTTAAACCCGCACTTTGTTCTTTGTTCTAAGCTGTGTGAGTGGTCTGCTTTGTCCAGCAGTCATTCTCAAACCTTTAGAGTGCACGAGGGAAGATTATTTTTTTTACTGCTTTGTTGCTAAAAAGTTTTCTCTTATATTATTTTCAGTGGCTGATTAGCAGGGCTGTCTCTAGCCCTTTTTATGCCCTAGGCAACTTTAGATTTTGGTGCCCCCTCGTGGATCGATAGCTATATAGGTTTTTGAGAAATTTCATTTAGTGCAGGCGAGCCCTCCAAACAGCTTAAAAAAGATGCTTCTCTTCCATGTAGCTTAAGGTTACTCGACACACTGTCATAATATCTGAGATATTTATTAAAAATGAATAATAAGCAGTCCAAATTGCATTCTTCTTTTATTTGTGACTTTGGGATCTAAAGATTCAGTGAATGCACAGAGAATAATTTATTTAGAGGAACCTAAATGTAAATGTGCTTTCATTGTTACAGTTGTTACAGTTTCTGTCTTATATAGTTATAGGAAACATCCTTGATGACACTCCTGCATATATGGACCAAATTGAGGAATGAAGATAGAAACTTAAGATTGACAAGAAAGAATATTGTGAACTTAATTAAATGGGTCAAACTTTTATTGACAATAAAACAAAAGTGATCTTGCAGCTGGTGGCAGTCATTGACTGTGACTGCTCGCCTGTCTGAAACGTAAAAAACTGATAAGAAAAAATTGTTAACATCATCAAAAATTATTAATAGCTATAAATAATTACAGAACTGCTGCTGTGTCATCTGCTGCAGCTTTTGCCACAAGGTGCGGCAAAAGGACACAAATGCAGGGCTCATAAACAGATGTGTCAAAAATAAAAACCAAGTCCAATGAGGCAAACACACCAATAAATCCAAAATAGAAGCAAAACACACTCAAGAGCAGGTGAAACAGATGCAGATGGGGGAAAATGAAACCGTAAATACTCAGAGACACAGTGAGGACTAATCAGGGGGAGTGGAGAAAAAAAGAACTGAAAATAATTAGGGACAACAAGACAAGGGAAGTAAAAGCAAATACAAAACGATAAATGACTGTCAAAATAAAACAGGAAGTGATAAATCAGGGATAGAAATTTAAGCATGATGCACAGAGACACCAGGGACACTAAACGAATATCGAACCATGAACTTAAAACAGAATAATCGCTGTAACAGAATCATACAAACAAATGACAACATGTCTCCGTCTACAACAGTCATCAAAACTGAGGCTTTAAAATGATAATGAAAAGAAAGCTAAAAATTCTTAATAAACAACCACAAAACTCAAAAGAACCTAAAACCCACAGATGAAAGACAGCTGTCTTTGATCACGCCTCTGCAGATAACTCTCTGAAGTTGCAGGTATTCAGTAAACTCAGAAGAACGACTATAAGCAGCAACTTCAGCTCCCGTGCACAGCTTGTCTCACCAGTGCCCTCCTACAGCCTTTCAGCAACACATTTTTAGAGAGCTTGTCTGGCAGAAAGCCTCGAAGGAAGACTTCTCCTCTGTGCCAGATACAGCTTATTTTGGTTTATCTCAGAGTCGTGTAAATATTTCAAAAACGTGCGTCCTGCGATTATGAACCTGGAGCACATTTCTGTCCTGTGTTACTGGACAGCCGTGATGTGAGAACGGGGTGGTAATGACAGGACCGGTATGCTGCTGCGATCGCTCCTGCAGTCAATTAATGATCACAGGGGGGTGAGCAAAGCAGATCCTCGCACATCCACGACTGCGCCGCTGAGATTTCACACTCACGAGTGAGGCTTTAGGAAGTCCTTAAAAATATTTACTTCCTACACATTCTGCTATTATCCTGAATTTGTTTGTATAAGATGTTATTTAATGTTAATCTCCTTGCATTTCCTCAGGTCGAGTGTTTGTGCTGGACCTGAGGAACTCCTCTGACCTGCAGGGCTTCAGAGATGCTGAGCAAGCTTGTGCATCGCATCGCGGCCGCCTGGCATCAGTAGAGGAGCTTCGTCACGCTGTGGTGGAGTGCTACTTCTCCCCGTGCACCCGCGGGTGGCTCTACGGGGGCTCAGTAGGGTAAGAATAGCAGCTGTCTTCAGAGGAGATGTCAGAGGTCATTATGGTGTGTGTGTGCGAGACGGAGGTTTCGGGAATGGATGAAAGAGAGAGGAAGTAAAGAAAGCAAGCGGGGAGATAGAAGAGTGACACATTTCAGGGGGGAAAGAGAAAAAGCAGAGAGAGGAAGCAGAGAGGGAGAAAGACTCCTCTGTTTCTTCCTGGAGGAGGAGGGAATTCTGAGATGGGGTGTCATGTCGACAACTGCCTCCATTTACACCTCTCATCTCCACGGCAACGACACTCACAGCTTTCAGAACAGAGCAGATTTGGGCCTGGAGGAAGAGCGGTACCCGGTTTGCTTAAACGGAGATGAAGCTGACAAGTGGTGATTATAGGGATAAAACCTCATGAACACTGTTACTGCTACTATAGTATCCTACACTGCAGCTCCTAATAGAAAAATTTATGAAGAGTATGAAACATGTTCCTTTTAAATGGACGCAGACACCTGGTGAACACATGCCTGCTTTTAATGAATAATAGTTGAGATGCTTTTTTGGGTCCATTCTTTGTTTGACCAATAAATGGTTAAGTTGACCCTGAAATTCTCGGTGTATGTAAGCCAAAATCCAAATGATTATTAATGGTTGTTCTAAATGACACGACTACGAGTTCATTCAAAACTTTTACGTAAAAATCCCCCTTTTCTCTCAGTGTAAAGACGTTTAACTGCACATTTTATCTCAGTACGAGAAAAAGAAGTTCAGTGTCAATAGGCTGTCTCAGTCTTACTACATGATAAAGAAAAGTTGCTCTATTTAATGAAAGAAATCTGTCAGCATGACAGAAATGTACATAAATCTACAAATTATAAAAAGTTCTGGTAGCTCATGGCCCAGACTGTCCTATAATTATAAAAGAAAGCGTTATAAAGTTTAAAAAATGTTTTTATTGATCTATTGATTGATTTGTAAAAGCTTTTATTGTTCTGTCATTTAACTGTTAATCTGTTACTCTAGTTTGTATGAAAGACAGTGGGGAAAGTCTTCATCATTGGGACAAGCTGTAAAATGTATAAAAATGTCGTTAAAACTCCAAAGTGTATGCCCTCGATCACATTTTCAAAAAACATCCAGTGCGGCCCGGGTTGGCGTCTCTGCCAGGCCAATTCTGGCCCCCGGGCCTTATATTTGACACCCCTGCTCTACAGTATATTAGAGACTATAAAATACAAGCGGCCGACTATTCCACCTACAGGGCTGGTCAACCACAACGAAACTTCTTTATAAAAATGAACGGAGACTTCAATGAAACAATTGAGAAATAAAGCCTTTCAGGGGTTAACCTGGTTCAAAGTGCCCACCGAGTTTCTAACATACAATAATATGCTTGTAACATATCTGGTTAGGGACGTATCATCTTTTCCTTTTATACACCGCTGGCTCTGTACATGTTGATCAGCGGACATCAGCTTTCACACTCCCTTACTGTGTTTCACACTATATCACCCTGCTACCACAGCTCCGTCTGCTGAAGTCAGGAGCTACACACCTCCTTTTTGGACGGCTTATTCGAGCAGTGACAATGACAGACGTGGAATCTGACGTATATTCAGATACAGTGAACTTTTCCTGTAACTTTTTCAGGAAACACAGACAACCTTGGTCTGTGTTGGAGGCAGTTTTGCAGAAAAGCACCAGAATGTTCTTCTAATATATCAGGAAACACAGAGTAAGAAAAGCAGTCCAACAGCTGAAGGTGCCGCAGTCATTCGGACATTATGCGCTGATTATTTATGGGCTGTGAATTTGCAGAGCGTGTGAGGGAAATACGATTCACAGCCGATTCATCCTCCTCTCCTGCGTGGTCTTCATCATAAATAAATCATCACTCTGAAGCGCAGCATGGTGGTTCCTAATATATATCTAGCTCATCAATCAATGTTAGTTAAAGGTAAAAATACATTGATTGCAGGTATTTTATTAATGTTTTTGTCTGTTTTTCTTGTCCCTCCATCCTTTTCTGTTTTTTTTTTTTTCCTGTTTTGTTGCCCACCTTACCACATACACTCTCACTGGTTGTGTAAAGGCCACCCTCACCCACTCCCTCACTCACATGTTGGTTGCTTAGATGAATAATTGTGTCGTTGGTGTGTGAACTGTGATGCTTCCAGACTGGCGTCAGTGCCAGTTAACCACCTCAGATGTGTATGACATAAGTCTGTAGGTCTATTAGGAGCTTTAACAAGTGCCTCCTACGCTGACTCTTCCACCTTAACATCTTCTTCTGACCTGTCAGTCATTTTGTACCTCTGTACACCATTATACAAGAAAAATGAATTAAGGCCGTTTCAGATGAATGCGTGCATACTTCTGGGTGTTCCCTGTAGCAGTCACGCACTGTCAGGTGATGGATTCTTCTCGGGCACAGATACCTGCAGGGATGAAAGTTAAATTTTTAAACAGTCGTCAGTGTTTTTTGCCTCTCTGAGTGCTTTCTCTGTGATTTCTTCTTTTCTCCTTCAGACTCTCTCCCCCATAAAGCAAAGCTAACATGGCACACGCATGCAGTCTGACCTGCTCCACTCTCTCACTGCACTGCTAGTTAAGCCTTTATCAGGACAGTACGGTTGAAAGATGAGGGGAAACCTGGGAGAGAGAGCAGGAGGAACACATGCAGCAAATACCTTAGGCTAGATTCAGACACGGGCCTCTGCAATAGTCTTACAGTTTATGGGTCGCCTGTTCAATCTGCTGAGCTAAACTGGCGCCCCTGCTAGTTACATTATTTCCAATTAGTGATGCTTTGTTTAGATCAAATGCACACCCAGTGTCTATTCTATAGAATGATTCTTAGTAACTAATATCACCAATCAAACTTGCTGTTAAAGCTCATATTTCTGAATTTTCCCACAGGACTGATTGCTACTGCCAGCCTCTGTGGGAACATAATCTGATTGGCCTTGTCTTATCTGGTGTTTTTGAATGATAAACGGGTTAATAATGTGATTATGCTGCAACATAAACGGAGTATTCACTCAGCTTTAGTAGCTTCTGCAGCTTGTAGGAGCTGTGCTCATTCAGTCCCAGTGGAATACGCGCTGCTTTATGTCCACAATGTTATGACTTCTCTATTTGAAGTTGGCTGTAACCTAAGGCTTGTTCTCTGGGAACATCTATCCATAATGTATCAGCGTGGGATAACACTGTGCCAAAGGCTACAGCCGCTGATACTGCAACATATCTGAGTCATGATGTGTGTTCCTGGACCCTGATGTCATACTGCAATAATATTTAAATGGGCAACAAATCAAGTGGTGGTGAATAAACTGTGTGCGCAGTCAACTTTCCCACATGCGCACTTAATCAGAGGTACAGCTTTAGATATCAGGGGTGGAGGGAATATGTAGAGGAATGTTTCAGTGTTAATTACAAGTTAATGACCTGCATTCATAATCTCCCAGAATAAAAATACAGAAATAAAGCCAAAAAATATATAATACTCAAAATATTTCCAATGCATTGTATTCAGAATTCTGCTTTTGAAGCTGCTGGTGATGGAGCTAGCTCTTTTTTACATATTGTTTTAGTCCACTGGTTCCCAGCATGCTGGTCAGGCCTGTAAATAAATGATGGCAGACTGGTAGACTGTAAATAATTGATGGATATTATTCATTGGTTTGCAATCCACTGCTTTGAGGCATTGTGGGCAGTCTTATCTTGGCTTTTTTAAAGTGAGGTGAAGGTCTGACTAAAGAACCAAGAGCAGCTACACAGCCTCACTGTGAAATACAGCCAGACATTTGACCGCTTCGCCTTGGGCATTTTTAATCTGTAGCTCTGCTCTAAAAGAACGTACGTACCTGGGCCTGCCTACTATCCTTGAAAACGTAAAATGATTGGCTAGAAGTGTATCACAGCTCAGGGAAAAAAAGCACCGAAATAAAGCACCGAAATGTGCGCTGCTTTTCCGTCTGGTTACTACCGTTTATGTCAGAACCGGTGCCCTTCCCTAGTCACAAAGTTGCTATAATAAACTTTTCATATCTACTCAGCAAACATTTCAACGCTGAATGACTGTAGCGATAGTTCTTGTTCACGGCTGAAAACTAGTTCAAAACTAAAAAGCAAACTCGATGTTGGAGACACGACCTCGACACTAAAAGATAGATAAAACTTGTGTTCTACAATCTTGTTATCACTTAGATGAAACAATTAAAAAAAGAATCTGATAGAAAGAATGAGAAGAGAAATAGCAGCTCTGTGGTCATTTTGACAGCAAATTTTGATTCAGTTTTATTAGTAGTTTTTAGATTAAAACATTAATTAGTTTCAGTCGACTAAACACCATAAGATTATCCTAGATTAAATCTAAAGTTGATTCAGTTGACTAAAATGTAATGCGTAAAATTCTGTCATGTTTTTACTGGTGAGAATTGCTCCACATTGTTTACAAAGCATCTCATTTGCAATGCACCAATCTAATCTATATTTATCCCTCACTAAGAGATGTTCAAGTCAGACCATCTCTTTGGGAGTGCAAACAACAACATCTTGTCCAGGTCCTGCTCAGTTTTTGGAACTGAACTGCAACCAGGTTTGACCTGGGAGATGATTTCAGGGTTTAAGCCATGTTTGCTGAATTACTCTATTGAAGTGAACATAAGTGTTCTGATAATGCTAGCAAGCTTTGTTAGCAAACTGTGCAGGTACATCACACACGGACAGAAGAGCTCAAAAATACTAAAATTATAGTAGCTAAAATTAAAGCGCAAACCTCTTTGGAGGTAATTAAATAGAATTAAATAGACGATGACTAAATTAAGAATGCTCAAAATGTGCACAAAATATAGCACAGCTGTTACAAAGAGAAAGAATAGCAACAGAGACCAACAGACGCAATTGTGAAATGCTCCTCTATACTCAAGTCAGTGTTATGTCACGTTAATTAATGAGAGTGTGAACATGTGACTTGATTTTATGCAGTGTGGATATCATGTCTGTTTATTTCCAGGACCACAGTGTGTAATGTTGTGGGCGGTGTGCTGAAAGCTGTAGAAGTGAGGACAGAAAATGGCACAGAGGACGCAACGCACCTGGACGCCTTCTGCATCAAAGACAAAGGTCAGTAAACCCACACGAAAACATACACAGTACGTAAGGATCGTAGAAGAGGAATGGTAGTAGCGATCAGGACATGAATGACTCAGGTTTGTGTGTGTGTGTAAATGTAAATGTGATGTGAAACAACTGGATCCATGAATGTGTGTTAGTTCTGATGCAGCTGAAACACATCACATCTGGCACATCATTGCCAGGTTTTGGATCAAAACTTGGAAGATTTCTCTTGTCCATGTGCCACACACCCTGAGGTTGGCAGACACTCTCTGCTGTGGGAGCACATGTGAACACTTCACATCCATTTGATGCAGGCAAACCAACTACACAGCTTATTGTCTAGTTATGGTTGGGTATATTAAATACAGGATCCCTGGAGGCACCATTGTCAGGGAAACCCACTCACACCGTTACACTGAACTAATTAAAGATTCCAAAGATTAATCTGAAACACGTAAAAAGAAGTTGCACTACAGTCTATAGTCAAAATGTCTTTTTGAATAACCATTTGGGGGATTTTTAAACTTTATTTTACATTTTAAATTATATTTTATTTCATAATAAACAATAAAACACTTGTTATTAGAATTTAACAATATATTATGGATATAATGCAAAACAAACTGTATTGATCTTTAATTATCTTAATTATCTAAAGTCAAGTTGGCAGCAGGGTATCCCAGATATCTTTCTCCCCAGCCACACTTTTCAGTTGCTCCTGGGGGATACAGAGACCTTCCCAGCACAGAATAGATACATAATGTCTTTAGCAGATTCTGAGTCCACCCTGGGATCTCTTCCCAACTGGTGCCCCTGAAAAACCTCCAAAGGCAGGCACTCAGGAGGCATCCTAACCAGAAGCTCGAACAACCTCAACTATCTCCTTTCAAAATGCAAGCGCAGTGGCTCTACTCTGCGATGCCCACAGATGTCTGACCTCCACACCCTCTCTCTAAGGTTAGCCAACCACACTGTGGAGGAAACACATTTTGGCCGCTTGTTTTTGTGACCTCATTCTTTCGGCCATTACCTGGATTTCATGACCGTAGGTGAAGGTTGGGACGTAGACACAGAGATTCTGCTTCAACAGTCCGGTAAAATGTCTTCATTACTGCTGATGCTGCATCAATGCGCCGATCCATCTCGTGCTCCACCTTCCCATCACTTGTGAATGACATCCCAGGATGACTGGATTCTCTTGCTTGAGGCAGCCTTCCTCCCCATCGTTCCACTGTACTCTGGCAGAGAACCGTTGCCTTGGATTTGGAGGCGCTGATTCTCATCCCACCTGCTTCTTACTCAGCTGCAAACCGCTCCAGTGCATGCTGAAAGTCACGCTCTGATTAAACCAACAGAATCACATCATCCACAAAAGCAGGGGTGCAATTCTGAGGTTCCCAAAGCAAATACCCTGCTCACCTCAGCTATACCTCGAGATCCTGTACATGAAAATAAAAGTAGGTTCAGAGACAAAGCATAGCCTGAAAACATGCAAAGACGCAGAATTCCTGGCATTCCTTCGCCTGAATCCAAAGTTCGACAAGGTTCGAACCTGCTTTCCATCACCCTTGATGAAAACTTTAATATGCATAGTTATCCACAACAATATCCATGAAGATTGGACCAGATTCTGTTTAATATTCATGCTTTATCCTCATGTTCTTAAAATTCACATAATTCTTTTACATAAAAGCTTTTGCTTCATGTCCAGAATTCATTCGTTCATTCTTATTACACATGATATACTGATATTATAAAGCTGATAAGCATTGGTTGACATTTACAGAGAACACTGTTTCCTATGGAATAAGTATAACAGCTCTATTACTAAATACGTGCATCTATATGCTTGTTGCTGATAGATGAGCCATGTGGAGACCCCCCATCTTTTCCTAATGCACGCCTGCAGAGTCACTCTGGGTCCGAGATGGGAGATGAGCTTCTGTACACATGTGTCCCAGGTTACGTGATGCCCGGTGGACACACAGCCTTTAGCCTGCTGTGTGACAGCTGTGGGGAGTGGTATGGACTGGTGCAGATTTGTGTTAAAGGTAAGAGGCTGTTGTGGTCAGAGTTTGATTCTTTGTGTTTGAACAGACTCTCAGTTGTTAGCTGGGATGGAAATGGTGTTACTGGTGCTTTAGCTTGTGTCGCTAATCCTTTATAAAGGCAAAATGCATGGCCTGTGTGGATTATTAGCTAACAGTTAATCATGCTTTTAATCTAAAGCAGTCGTTCATAAACTTTCCAGGGAAAACTACTCTAGATTTTAATTTTCTTACAATATTGGCAGCTATGTTTAGTTAATGGAGCCTCTAAAAGGTCACAAATATCTGTTTTCTACCCAGACATTTTAAGGTCCAGCTTTGATCATAATCTCAAACCATTTTTCTTTTGTGTTTCTGATTCAAAGAACTGGCTGTGTACCAGGGGAACTGGTTCAAGAGTGACACTGACATTTTGCTGGTTTGGAAACAAGAATCAGTGACGTCAGGGTCTGCCAACCCAGCAGCCAGATTATGTTAGCTCAGTATGATCAGTGGAAACAGATGGCAATAGTTGGCTCCAGCTAAAGGTCTCAAAATCTATCCAGCAGTGCCACTAAATGTCATTGAAAATACAAAAAACAAAACAAAAAACAAACATTTTTCTTAGGTTTTGTGTAGGTTTTATTTTCTATTTCTTGGTAGGACCGTGACTTTTCAGAGCCTTGGCATCATTATGAAGCCACCAAAGAGCGGAGCAGAGAATTTGCAATGCCTATCTACTGGAGACTGCCTTTGGGATCATATATAATTAAAAGAGGTGGCATTAAATATCTTGGGAACTTTTGCTAACTTTCTTTGCGTCATAAAATAATAAATAATAAATGTAGATACTTGATCTGACTTGAAAGTTTACACATTTCTATTTTGTCTTTCTGCAGATGAGGTAAGTCACACAGACTACGAGGACAAGTTCACAGATTCCTACATAGAGGCAGAGCGCCAACCTGAGACACCATTAGAGGCTCATGGCGATGTACACGAGGAAGTGTATGGAGCTGCGTACCCACATGGAGAGATGAGCGCGGAGCAGCAAGAGACGAGTTTTAGAGCCAAAGCTGAGGAGGACCATCGAGACCTGAGCAGAAAGCGTAAAGTGGGAGGAGAAGTGGCTGAAGATAGTGAAATATTTGAAGGAGCTTTAGTTAAACGAGAAAAAAATGAGGAACGGGCTGGTGAGGACTTGGTAGGTCCTCGGACGAGGCAGCAGGAGAGAACTGAGGTGGCCAAGATTGATACAGTGGAAGCCACAGAAGCACCCGTCTCTCTTCTCTCCCAGAAACACATGTTCTGGTTCCCCTCTGAGACCTTCCAGGAGGAAGAACCTCAGGTCTTCATCAATCCAGCCACGCAGACAACACAGAGAACCTCTGTTGACCGATCTGAGGAGAGCATTGAGCACACGAGTCAAGAAAGGCCCTATCGTCAACATCCCGTTGATGCTGATGATCCTGATCATGAAGGAGATGATTTTGATGATCCTGACACCAGCCGCCATGATGACCAGGACGACATCCTTGAAGATGACCACCATGACGATCAAGACGGCAGCCACCAAGAGGAAGCCCACGATGAGCACAAGAGGCAAACAGCTCACGATGAAGATTTGGACAAAAGGGAAAGCCATGAAAGCTATGACGATCACGAGAAGCATTATGACATGGGCGAACATGAGGAGGACCGTGATCGCAAGGAGTACGACGATCCAGATGATACTTACGACGGACACAAAAGCCAGGAGGATCATGATGATCATAATGGAGAACATCATGAGGTCTCTGAGGAACATCTGGACCACGATGACCACGATGACCACGATGACCACGATGACCGTGCCACACATTATGACGACACCCATTATGCTGACCTTGATGATCACGATGATTTTGGACACAAAGACGCTGAGAGCTATGACGATCACGATAGCCATGAAGATGATAGTCGTCGGCATGTTGTTTTTTCTGTGGTAGCCGATAAGCATCAGAACGTCACTCAGAGGGGAGCAGACGGAAAGTCAGCCACAGATGACACGTGGCTGGACGGTTACCCTGTTGTTTTCGAAAACGGTGACTCCGTAACAGAGAGGGTGAAACCAGAGGATAAAGACAGAAGGAGATTTGTCAAGACGACGCCCAGACCCACTGAGGTGGAAATTCCTAGACCTTACACCAGCTCGCCCAAGGAGCAAGAGTCTCTCACCACGGTGCGTGAATTCAAACTAGGGGTTTTAGAGGAGGTGTGGCCTGACTCCATCGGGACCCCTGCCCCTGACCTTCTGGAGCCTTCAGACTCTCCTTCATACTCTGAGACCGGAGACTACAGCACACAACAAGCAGTTCCCACCGACTCTTGGATGGCTGACATTACCGATCATCCCTTCCTTGATCATGGCCCAAGCCCTCCAGTGCACAAGGACGGCTTCGTGCTCAGCCTGCCTGGTGAGACTGGGGAGAGGGGAGAGCAGGAAGGGGAGATGGGAGAGACGATCTGTGTGGATGACGCCTGCCCTCCCCTCCCTCCGAGCTCTTCCGGTCGAGGCCCCACTGTGGCGGCCATTGTTGTGGCGATTTGTGTCATCGCAACTGCAGTCATTGTCGCGGTGTGGTGTTACCGACGACAGCAGCAGAAGAGTTCGGCGTATGAGATGAATGGGAAGGGCCAAAGTCAGGCCAGACAGGGCCAACAGATAGAGATGCAGCAAAAGGTGTAGGGGAGAGAGGTTGGCACAGACACTCTTCCTTTGGGAAGGATGGGAAGATTCAGTTGAAAACTGTTGATCTTAGGTATAAACTTTAAAAAAGCTAGCACAAAATATTGTAATGATGCTTAACATAGTGAAACTTGAATGAAACAAGATGGCAATAGTCCTGTCACTTAGTAGTTCTGAGGAAATCCACCAGTCCTTGTATGTTATCCATGATTTTTAAAGCTCTGGCATCTACCTGGACATAAACCAGGCTGGATTCAACTCCAGAAGCTGAGAAGCGAGACTTTAAAGATATTAACATGTAGGAAAACCACAACATGAGGCACAGCACTGCCTGAATATAGGAACTGAAACTTCATTCTCCAAAGCTCTCGGACATTTTGATGAAGATCTCTTGCTGTTGTTTTTGTTGAGTGCTTGTATTATTGCTGATGTGCATTGTTTGATATTCTGTGTATTGTGTTTATGGAAAAAAAAATGGTCTAGTTCACCACAGGAGGTTAGCGGGAGGACATGAAGAGTACTGAGAGGGGTGAGATGAAAGAAAAGAGGCTGGTGAAAGGTGTAAGTAAGAGGTGGAGTCTGATGGGAGAAATATTTCTTGTCTGTGTTGGTTTTGACATTCAGCTGATGAGACATAAAGAGGCATCCAGATTGCAGACTCAGCCACATGTATGCGTGTGTGTGATAGTGTGCGTGTGTGTGTGTGTCGCAGGTCTGTGCAATCCGCCAGCCAGCAGTAAATTATGTTTGAAGGTACCGACCGAGGAAGCAGAGTAGATCCTGACATCAGTCCAACTAACCACAGATTAAACACTGTGGTGAAAAAGAACCACAGCCTCAAATAAATACAGTTTAAACACAGTTTCAATGCAGTCAAAAGTTTAATAAAAAGTGCATTTAGATTTTCAAATGATCAAAAATAGGACTCCACTGCCCTAAAACAGAGAGATTGATATACACTCAAATACCACTTTACATCCCTTTTGTTCTAAAAGGGACTGTCTTAATTTTTCATGGCATCGATTCAACAAGGTGCTGGAAACGTTGCTCTGAGATTTTGGTCCATATTGACATGACATCATAACACAGGTACTGCAGATTTATCGGCTGTAAGTCCATGATGTGAATTTCTTGTTCCACCACATCCCAAAGATTGCCTGTTTGATTGAGATCTGGTGATTGTGGAGCCAATTTGAGAACAGCTGACTCATTGTCACGTTCAAGAAAGCGGTTTGAGATGATCTGAGCTTCGCGACGTGGTGTGTCATCCTGCTGGAAGAGGCGTGCACGGGGACGAACATGGTCGGCAACAATACTCATGTAGGGTGTGGTGGTGAAACGGTGCTCATTTAGTACTAAAAGGGTACAAAGCGTGCCAAGACAATGTCCTCTACACCATTACACCAGCAGCAGCCTGAACCATTAACGCATGGCAGCATGTATCCATGAATTTTTATTTACACCAAATTCTGATCCTACCATCCTAATGTGAAAACAAAAACTGAGACTCAACAGACCAGACAACAATTTTACAGTCTTCTCTTGTCCAGTTTTGGTGAATTTTGGCCTCAATTTCATGATCTTACCTGATGAGAGTGGTACCCAGTGTGGTCTTCCTCTGCTGAAGGTCATCTGCTTCGAGGTTTGACGCCCTGTGCAAAACTTGGTTGTAACGAGTAGTTATTTAAGTTACTATTGCCTCGCTATCAGCTGTCACGTTCTTAAATCACCTCTTTTCTCCATTGTGATGCTCAGTCTTAACTTCAGCGCGTCATGTTCGCATGCCTAAATGCCTCGAGCTGCTGCTGTGATTGGCTGATTGGATAGTTCCTTTAAAGAGGAGTTGAACAGGTGACCGGTGAGTGTACACACACATATAATGGCGAATGTGTCATAAGTCATTACACTATGAGCAGTTACAGAGGACTGGACTCTGGGAATATTTGCTCATGTCTGAGTAGATATCAGTGTTGTGACAATTTCTGCCAAACAGAGATGAATGCATTCAGGATTTTTAAAAATAGTCTATCATTCTTTGTTATCGATGTGCCATCTTTCCATATGTGCCAAATATTTAGAAAATGTAAAAGAGCAGATGTAAATGGATACAAATAGTCATGTTTGTGGTCAAATTTCAGTGTTTTACAGTAGGAATGTAAATAAAACAGTATATAAGGGTAAGAGCATGGGAAGTGATTATAATTATTGTCAACAGGGACCACTGATTAATAAAAAAGAAACTTAATGGTAAAGAATTTTCTTGCATAATTTCAAAATCAATAACGAACTGATTTACAGGAAATATCTTAATCTGTTTCATTCATGGTGTCTGAAAATGAACTGACGTTAATGTGGCGAGGCCACGGGGAATTATTAAGTACCTGACGTCTGTGTGTTTCTGTGCATATGATCTGTGACTGTATTGACTCGCTGTACATACGACAGCATTACCAGTATGTGGAAATACCTTGTTTCTTGTTTCACAGGTGGCATTACAAACCACCCCTCATATCTTACACAGGGTACGCTCATCTCCGCGACGTCTGCTCGACTACCTTTTATTTCAGCTGTGATTACCGCGACTGTACTCGCCCACGCCGTAGGTTATCAAGCAACGAACTCTGGCAAAACAACAGGTTTGCCACATGAAGGATGCCTGAAGAAGGGTCATAAAAATAGACGTTGATAAATTAAAAGCGTGACTAGTTATTTGCAGCATCGTCCTCTCAGCCTTATGTGATTTATGACAAGATGAAATGTGTACTGTATGTGTCTTCACAAATAAATATGTGGTATAACTCTGGCTTCTAGTTTACTTTTGCTCTGGGTCAACTAGATGCACTAACTTATAGGAATCTTCAGTTGTTATCTTTCTTTAGTATTCACAGCGGACACGGCAAAAGATGTTACTCTGTCTTTTCGTCAGGACATTTTTAATGCTTCTGCTTCTCCAAGCAAAAAGAAGCAGAAGAGAGAAATTGGTGGGATGAACTACAGCTGAGGAAGAGGTAATAAAAGAAACAGGACAGAAGGAGAAGGCGAAGAGTTGGAGAGACACAGTAATACAGAGGGAATGTTCCCCTGTGGGTTTTTAACATCACCATGTGACAAACTGCACAGAGACTCAATGTTCAAACATTATTAAACACCACAGTGTTTTCTCTGGTGGGCTCTCTGCTCAGCTCTCCTGTCTTCTACCACTGGGTTTCTTTATATTGGGGCTCCAGTTAAAGACCAGTGAACTGGAAACGAAGAATAGCCGAGTAATTAACATTTAAGTCACTTTTAAAACAGATATTAAAAATTTGTTTTTCCAGCTTCGATACTGGGATGATTTACTGTTTGTCTCATGTGGTGAAAGAGAATCAGAATGGTTGGTAGGTTTACATCACTGTCTTCACAGTTTTGCAGAATTTCTGAGGGTCTTTAAAAACTTCTCTATTGACATTTGGACACTCCAGTCCTTGTACCTGACCTTTATCTGGAGAATGTCTGTTGTTTGTTAAGTGGCTTAACACAGACCCGTGAACCATTTAAGCACAAAGAGCTACCTAACTCAAGGGATGAACTTAGCAAAGAGCCAGTTTTAAATTGTGTCTTAAGGCACTTTTTTCATTTGCAGCCTGTCGCTAAAGCACATCATTTGATTCACATTTCTTTAGCTGAAAAATACCAAAGACAACACAGCTTGACAGACATAAAGTAGTATTTTTTGACCAGCAGGGCTATTCCCAAAGAGCTATCATATCTCAGCGTGGTTTGCAGTGTCTCCTTGCAACTTTGAAGAACAAGTGGAGGACAAAATTAGAAGTTGCAGGACTAAAACTCTATCTACAGCGAGGGAACAAATCCAGCAAAGACCTGACACAGGATCTGAGAGATGCATCTGTGCCTTCAGTTGATCCAGCTGCTGTTCAGAAATCCTCTCAGTGGAAGTGGCTGTTGTTTTACAACATCACTGAAAAGGCGTGATTATTGGAAAGTTATTTTATTGTAAAAAAAAAAAAAAAGTCATACTCGTGTGATTCACAGTGGAGAAATTCATTAATAAAAAGACGAGACAAAATATTTCAGTTTTCTTTAAATTATTAAGCCACTATGCTGTATGTCCACTGAACAGAATATTAATGGGCACGCAGTAGGAAAGTAAAACAAACTCGATCAACCACAGACTGTAAACCCGATAAATATAAAAATTGGGAGTGTTTTGTGTTGTTTTTCAGTGTTTCGGCAGAATCTTCTCCTCATCCTCATCCAGGAACTCATCTATAAACTCGACCACCTCCCCCTGCAGACACAAACACGAAAAAACAATGACACAGAGACAACTCAGGAGGGGCTGTTTGGTTTCAAAGCGAGGTTTTTTCCACTAAGTGGATTACCATTAATCCTCACACTCGCAGTTTTATCTGTGATTTCTCATATTCTGCATTACTGAAGAGATTACAGTCAGTAACTGAATAGTATTTACCACGTACAGCACGTAATCCTGGCTTATGGGTTGGCCTGATGGCCACACTTCTTGTGCTTGCAGTAAAATAACTTAAAGAAAAATGATGCAACACTGCCACCTCACGGCTGTCTGTGATATTGCAGTCTAATAAACACTGGACACATTGTACTGAAGGTCATCATGTGACCAGCCTGAGGAATCCAGGGTTTTCCCAGTTACACAAGCTCACAGATGCAAACAGTGCAGTCCAAACTGTGATTTAATGGGAATTATGTATTTCTATTTTTATGCATAGACTGCATCTTATGTTCACTTCACTTGACCTAAGATAACCTCCCGCCTGGAAAAATCCTTTGATACAAACCACGCACCTCATCGTCGCTGGCCAGACGCTGTTTGGAGAACTCCAACATCTGAAGCTGCATGGTGGTCTGATTGTAGTACCGGACTGCCTCCTGCAGGACAACAGTCAAAGAAATGATGAGTGTCAGAGAGACCCAAAGACTCAAAAGCGGGGAAGAAACCAATAAGTCCTCTTTAGGATGTGTGTGTTTCTGTGACAAAGCAATAAACATTTTATAGGAACAGTTATACTTTTTTTAAAAATGACTGGTATATCAAAAATACATTCAGATGGCCGCCTGCCCTCAGCTTAGATCTGTCAGAGGGTTCTTCCTGTTAAAAGATTGTTTTTCTTTCCTACTGTTGCCGAGCGCTTATTCAAAAGGGTTCGTTTAATTGTTGGGGTTTCTTTGTATTATTGTAGGGTCTTTATCTTACAATCTAAATCACATTTAGGGGACAGTTGTTGTGATTTGGTGCTATATAAATTCAGTTGACTTAAGTTAAACTTTGTTCAATAAAATTTTACTTACAAAACCTTCTGCTTTCTTGGATGGGCTGTTAGAGAAATTACCTGCACAAAAGGTAAATGCTACAAAATACACCAACACCACAATCATGACTGAGAGGTCAGCTGTGGTGAAGCCCAGCAGACAGCTGCTAACTACAGCCACCTCTGTTGGCCACAACCGTAATAATGCAGAAGCATTTTATTTCCCAGGCTGTAAACATGCTTTTTAACAAGGTAGTCCATGGCGCTGATCTCACTTTTAGAGCCAACCTCAAGTGGCTGCTGGAGGAACTGCAGTTTTTGGCACTGATGCATTTTTATATCTGTTTTTAACAATAAACCTGCATATGGCAAATGGCTTACTATATGAACTTAATTAACATTAAATGCTTGAAACAGGGTGGAAACTTCCAGGATTCACTCATGGGCACCTGTGAAAATCAATAACAACACAGATACCCTGCAGTGCACAGACTTGTGCCCTGCTAGGCTTCATATTTGCGAACAGATCTTTTCAACAACTTTTAGGTAAAAAGGCTAATAAACATGCTTCCAAAAATGTGAAATAAGTCCTTCAGGGACTTGTCATCATCATCATAACAAAAACATAAATAAATAAAACAAGCTTTTTAAATAAATCCACAATATGCTCTCCCAGGCTGAGATGCATCAATCAGGTGTGTGCATATTCTGTGTAATTAATTCTGAACATCACTCACTGATCTGGGGAGGAAATCCTCATCTATCAGCCCCCACTTGCTTTTGTGGAACTTGTAATACTCCACGTTGTTCTTCATGACTTCATCATTGGGGTCAAACAGCAAGTAGCTGGTTGCACACGGCACTGCGTTCTTCAAGTCATTCACTGAAAGCAAAGTCACAGTCAAACGCCAGCAAACGAACCTCAGAAATTCAAAAGAGAAATACTTCTCTGCTCAAAGCTGCCAGCTGAGTACTACTCACGCTTGTAGTAGGCGAACTGCAAGTAGTGGTACATGGTGGCCACAAACTTCTCAACAACATAACCGCCGACAACAGGTGTCAGGTCGCTCTCACACCCGGCCTTCCTCTCCAGCACTTCCATGTAGTGGTCTAAACAGAAAATAAGTTTAGGCCTTCAATAAACAGTCATGACTGCACATGAGATGGACATGAGCTGACCAGCTATCGAGGGGTAGAAGTCTTTAAAATCTCTGATGTCCCTCGGTCCCTCAGACGCAGCCAGACACTCGTCGTAGACCTTGAAGAAGTCCCTCAGTGCCAGCTCCATGTCTGACACCGAGGTACGGAAGTTTTCGCCATTGTACGCCCTCACGGCACGTATAAATAAGGTCTGGGATACCACAAGAAAAAAGGATTTGAAAACACAATCCAGAGTGTTAATGCAAACTTTGATGAAGGACTCAGTATTAATCATTTTCAACACTATGATTATCTTCTGTCTGAAATCTTTGACGAGTAATGGTTGCAGACTCTCTTTTTCCACCTTCCCACGCTTGTATTTTACATAACAACGCTAATAAATATCAAGACATATGAAATTTTGTAGCGTAAAGTAAAGTGGATGTAGCCACTGAGGCCGTGCCAAGGATGCCTTAAAGTCCTCAGACCAAAACTGGCAAGTTCATATTCCCAGATATGCCCGTTTGACCTGCACGACCACAGGCTGCTTCCACGTCAGGGCACCCACAGAACCAATAACAGAGTGGGCTGCATGCCACATGGGAGTGACACCTCTTGTGGATAAAAGCCTCGAGAAATCAGAAAGGATCAAAATGAAAGCGTGCCTCACTGTGTTTAAAGCATGTATCTGTGCCTACCTCGTAGGATTTGGTCTCCAGGTCTTTCAGGTGCTCCTCGGCTCCAGGCAGACTCTTGTAGTAGGCCATGTTTCTCTGCATCATCTCATCATCCGGGTGTTTCAGGAGGAAGGTGTGGGCAGCAGACACCGCCTTGGCCAGGTTGTCAGACTAGAACACAAAAACATTAAAATGATTTGTTTTTGTGCTGGTCAGTAAAGAAACCACACAAAGCCTATGGTACTAACCTGAAATGAAATGAGTGTCACATGCAGCAGTAGATTTACTTGTAAGAGTGATGTCATTTATCAGTTATCAGCTGATGTTTGTCTTCACTTATTAATCTGTTTAAATCACCAAAACTGACCACAGCTTATATTGTTGGCAGTGTGCTGACCCCTGTTGTTTCCTCATCACTGACATCTGCTTCAACTTCAACTGTATATAAAGCACTATAATTATAATTATAACTGCATACAATAAAGTTGAATTGAATTAATATATAGTAACTATATATTTATTACATTGATTCCAACATCTTTGATATAAAGATGATGTGTAATTAATGTCTGTGTCACGGTGTAGTCCTGTAACTTGTATATGTAAACACACCTCGTCAGTAAAGCTGATTCTGATTCCTCACACACATCTCCACTCTCATGCACACCTTACTTCACGCTCCGTTACTGCTGCATATTTTTAATTATTTTAGATTAATAGATTACTTTGCGAAACTGATGCAAAACAGTGTGTCTTCCCCCTTTTTTGGCATTGCCCTATGAGCTTAGTTGTGGCAACTGGGAGTTCAATATGATGTGATTACATTAGTTTCTATTAAAATGAAACTTTTCGGTGACCCCTTGGGACATGTGGAGGAAATCACCAGCATGGAAATGTTAAAAATACAATAACTATATTGACTAACACTTCCACATGGGATCATCTGCGTTTGTCATGTTTCTCAGCTTCCTGAACTATTCATAAATTTGCTTTAACAGTCGACTTTCTGTGACCATGCTGTGCGTGTAAAATTGACGATTCTAAGATGTCCTTTCCTTAAAAATGGACCATAAACCACAAGAGTTTAGTTCTTACAGCAGACCCCCAATTGTGCATCCGTGGCACGTAGATGACGTCAAAACGCACGTCGGGGAAAAATCACGACCATAGTTAAATAAACCATTATCACTGGGTAAAGAAAGTTTGAGACTCCAATCTCATTTAGGGGACCCCTTCGAGGCCCCCTCCTTATTAGTTCTGCTTACTTTGAAGTAGGCATATTGAAGGTATTTGTACGGCTCCCTCCTCTCAAATTCATCTATAGTATCCCGGCTGGGCATGGTCTGCCTGAAAGCGGGTAAGCCCTGTTTGCAGCGCTTCAGGCACTGCGCTCTTTTCATAACGTTTCCAAACGCCTGCAGCTCTGGAAACTCCGCAAACCTCTGCTCGTCCTCCAGCCTCACGGAGCTGCAGTTAAGGTTGCAGAAGGCCTCGCTGTCCCGCAGCAGCCGGTAGAGTCGCAGAGACACCTCCATGTACTCCACCGTCTCCTTCCACTTCTCCACGGTGTACTGATCCAGTGCATATTTGTAAGCGGACTCCAGAGGCATGAGCTCATGCCTGGGGAAACTCCTGAAGCTGTATTTCTCATACTGGGAGTTCACCACGGCGACGAAAAATGCGACTAATAAGGCAGAAAAAAGCTGGGAAGCAGTGGAGGTAGCCATTTTTGAGGCTGGAAAGAGCTGGAAGGGTAGGCTGTTGAGCGTGGGTCTATAGGCCCGCCTCAAGTTCCACCACGTATCCAGACAAAACCTCCCCTCCCACGGGCACGGGGCAGGCAAGATCGCTCCGTCCAGTGGGAGCTACTGGAGGTGCTCCTCCCATTAAATTACAAAAGTAAAACTTTACAGTTGTTCGGATTTTCACATTACAACTGAAAAGCCGGGCTGAAAATCTACATTTCATAACTTTTATTAGGGAAAGCATGAATTCAAAAAGAGTGTATTTTACCCGAAGGATTTGAGTATTTACCGTCTGCTTTACTTTTTTACAATATTTTTTTCACATTTAAAGCTTGAACCTCTTTCTTGCCTAATTGAACCCCCGGTGAGATTGTCCCCCCTCCACCTCTTCTCCTCCCACTGCCACGTAGAAACATTCCTGCTCTGTCTGCCTCCCCTCCAAAAACCTGAACACCACCAACATAACTAATCTGTGCGTAAAGTCAGCAGCAATCGTTATGCGTGCTGCTTATTCTTACGCTTTGACTATAAATCAGAGGCGTAGCCAGATATGCAGATATTGTTTTTGTTTTTTTTATGGATCCAGGTGGATGTGTCCGCATCTGTTTGGAGACCCCAATGTTTCCACGTTGACACATAACTCGGGCAGCACTGCGCAAGAGCAAAGCGCGGTGCCCCAACTATCCCATTCAATTGCAAAGGGCGTTAAGTCAGCTGGAGCGAAACACGGAAGTAATACGTCACTGTGTCAAAATAAGAGTCTAATTTTCTAATCTAATATTGTGTGTTTTTTGCTTGTGTGGCACAGAGATATTGGGCCACACGTTTCAACCTCTTGTATTTGGGTTTTATTAACAATGCGTCACATTTAGACGAATAGTCAAAGTTTTACTTGTAATATTCAAACCGGATATAGTGCGGCTTTTTCTCTGGCTTGACACGTGATCAGTCCTATGCTGGAACCAGAGGCAGGACTTGTGTCCAAATCGGAGTAGAGGAAATCAAAGCACCGGGGGACAGGGAGTCAGCGGGCACACAGGCAGGCCGTACCCACAGTTACCTCCATCGTCTCAAATCGTTCTCCTCGGTCACAATGATCAAGTGCGCGCAGGGGGTGTTGTATCTCTCGGTTCTGGTGACGTTCGCCGCCTGCAACGCTCCTCCGGTACCGTTAGACGACATCCTCATTGAGAAAACCTCCGTGCCAGAGCAGTGTGTGCGCGCGGTCAAAGTGGGAGATTTTGTCAGGTATCACTACATCGGCACGTTTCCAGACGGCAACAAGTTCGACTCCAGGTGAGTGTCTCACATCTACATTATTTCCCTCTCACTTTAGCACCTTTGCGTTTAGAAGACCGGCTGCACGGTCCGAGCAGCGTGCGCGATGCGTAAAAGTGCGCGTTTAGTGGTTCGCCCCTGTGAGCCACGCAGGCAACCAGACAGCCTGAGCTCTGGTGCTTAATCTCAGGGTCCAAAACTGTTTTTGTGTCGTCTGGAAAACAGACGGTAACAGGGATTACACAGGACCCCGATCTGAGAGATAATTTCGTTTCAGTTTTATTTGTCATATGCAAGTTAGCACAGGGTCAGTTAAACTAGTTTTTGTTTTATGCAGATGCTTCTTCCACGACCTTTAAAGTCCCCCGAACTCCACTTTGCAAACCACTGACAGTGAAAATGTCTTGCACAGTGGTCAGCTGGGCAGACACCCAAAGCCCCACAGACACTGTCACATTTGATTTACTGCACAATTGATTACAGCATAAACTATGATGCACTCTGCAGATTAAGATAACACCGTGGCCCAGTTTTAGTGAGAAATAGACTTACATTTTTGCACAAGAGTCTTTATGTTAAATCTTTAGAAATAAAAGGCTGTTAAGATGTTGAAATATGAAAAAGAAAGGCAGTCACTTTAAAAACCTGAAGTCATTGCCTCAAAGGAAATGTGATTAAAGCCAGGGAATAAAACGATTCATGTTACACAGCAACATCCTCATAGATAATTCCCTGACAGTCTGTTTTTGTGCATGTTTTAGTTATGACCGTGGCAGCACGTACAATGTCTTTGTTGGCAAGAAGCAGTTGATTGAAGGGATGGACAAAGCTCTCGTAGGAATGTGTGTCAACGAGAGAAGACTGGTGAAGATCCCACCTCAACTCGCCTACGGAAAACAAGGCTACGGTGCGTATGTCTGAATGTGTGCCAAACTCATATCAGCACATTGCTGTCCTATATGACTGATTGTTTGGAATGAGAACAAAACTTCTGTGCCCAAACTCTGGGACGTTAGGGCACAGACTGGTGTTTATCCCTCTGTAGTTACTATAAATATATCTCTGGCAAAGCTAATCATAACAAAGAGAGATCTTGGTGGGATATTTGCAGGAGCACAAGGCGGAGAAGTTACAGTCTTTGATGAATGCTCTGACTTTTGTTCTGTTGAAGTCAGTGGAAGCAAAGAGGAAGTGGGCTGCTCCTAAGCATCCATGTTGAATGATGTCAGAGGGGCATCATAGACCAGGAAGCAGACCAGAGGAAGCCGCTGTGGATTTTCAGCTGTTAATGTTTCTGCATCAGCTGCAAGCAGATACACTGTCACGTCATTAGTGTGTGTGTGGAAATGAAAAAAACCTGGGCCGTTGTTCAGAAATCAGTGTGTTTGTGTGAGAAAATGCATATATTGTGGGAGTCACAGGATGTGAAGCTATGTTTACAAGAAGAGAGAGGTGTGTATATTTGAGAAAGAGCATGAAATATTTCTATCCCATTATCTAATGGGAAAGAGAGAGAAAGAGCGGGCATGTATAGACAGGTAAAGGCTGAGGCTGTGTCCTCTACCGCCGCCTGTTTTAGAGGGATCAAACAAGGAAAAAGAAAACAGAGCGCTGAGATAGACGGAGCACTCTGAAGTGGTAGAGGGAAAATTTTGCCAGAAGAGACTGCCAACTCATCAGTAGTAAAATCACAATGGCTACCACACACTCAGGCCCTCCATCTCCTCCTCCCGTCCCCTTACCTTCGCTTTCTTCACTTTACATCCATATCTTCTGTCTGCTCACAAAGCTTCTGTGAAACAGTAGAAGAATATTTGAAGAAGCCTATTTCTGCTACTGAAAAACAAAACAAAACACATTTTTGCCATTCATCTCTCAAAATCTCAACTTACTAACTCAAACTCATGAAAAAATGACTTGAAATATTGAGCTATTACGTCAAAACTTTTAGATAATAACACGAAATTTTGAGTTATGGGTGACAAAAACTAGATTTTTGTTTCCGGCTTCCACAGAGAAGTGAAGCAGAGACTCCAGAGAAACAGTTTATACCTGCAGTTTATAACGTGCAGAGAACAATCACATTTACACACATACAGTGGGGCAAAAAAGTATTTAGTCAGCCACCGATTGTGCAAGTTCCCCCACCTAAAATGATGACAGAGGTCAGTAATTTGCACCAGAGGTACAC